ACGAACAGGATACTCCACATGTATTGACAGTCAGGCAGCCAGATGGCTCTGAAGGATTTGGGAGAGAGCCATCATCCCAGGTCTTGGAATGCCACATGGATGTGCCTAGAGAAAGAACAGGATGTAGTCAAGCAGTTACTTGTGCATTACATTTCCCTGGGGAAACCTTAGTCCATGGAGGACTGCTTCTAGATTTGGCCAGGCACCAACTAGTATTGCAGAGCTGGGATGACAACCAATGGCAGCACAACTTCAGCACAGGTAGGCTGCATTCTTTGATATCTGTGCAGTTCCCACCCAGACCTCTGATGTAGCAGCTCACCAAAGTAAGAGCTCCCCTTAGAATGGAGAAGCATGTGCCATCACCATTTGGAAACTTTCCATCCCTGTTTACTACTGGTCAGTACCTATTGCATTTGATGCTGATAGATCTGTTGTCTCAGGTTCAGACCTGAGGAGCACTGCTACATAGTGATAAGGTGCTTGGCAATGCATAAAAATGTATGGTTGAAGGTTGATGGGATCCATGAGCTTATTTGTTATTCCTCCTAGGCCTCACAATTCATCCACAGAAACAGGTTTCTCCATGGTGATTATGCCATAGTAATTCCTTTGACATTATTTGACTTGTTCAGGTATAACAGAAGAGTCTGGCCTTTTGGCTTGACTGGATTAAACTGTCCCATAATTTAGACTGTGCTGTTCCACCAAACCAACTTGAAAATGCATAACTCAAACTTTAAACTGGTAGAGCTCCACTAAAGTGAAAAAGAAATGGCAAGTCAAGTAATAACTAAGTCCAGCATTTTAAACATATGGACAAAAGTCCCAATAGGTTGTTTTTGAGGTTTGTACAGAAATACCATATAACAGCTGTGAAGAAGCACAAAAAAACAAATAGCCATGTGCTTACTTAGTGGCTATCAGAGTTGTGATGATGTTTCTAGTTCATTTATAGCTCAATATTCAGATAAAGGGTTAGCATTGACTATATAACAACAACCTCTGATATATTCCTAATACAGTTGCTTGGGAACATGATGTCTGTTTTTTCCATGTTGACTCATGTTCTGTCTCTTAAATAGAATGGCTTACATGCAAATAACTCACATATGAATGCTAACATCACCTGGGATTCCCTTTTTTAAAAGAATCACATGAAGACAGCAGGGAGATGTTTCACTTCTTATAACTAAGCAGCTGCAATATAATCTGCACAATAATTGTGACTAGACCAGAAAGGAACAGAAATGATTTCTCTGCAACGTGTTTACTTCTGTATTTAAGTTGTGTGTAGCAGCTCAGTTCAACTCTCTCGCACACAACTCCGGCAATGTTTCTTGTTTTATTGCAGTCCAGGAGAAGGATACAGGAGAGGAAATAGTTGACAGACCAGTCTAGTTAAAAAAAAAATTCTGAATATTTTTGTATGAATCTCACCTCACCAGCCTTAGTCCCAGCTTCCAGTTTTGGCTTTCACAGGATTTCATCAAGTGTTGCTGTATCAATTTGTATAAATCTCTGTGAATTTTTTGGGTGATGGCTGTCTGTACTAGCCAGAAGGCAGAATAGATTTGCAACTTTATAGGCTAACTAAATCAGAGATGTATAGCACAAGCTTTCAGAAACACAGGAGTTTACTACATCAGATGCTGTGTCCATACCAGGGCAATCTATAATGTTTTATCTCCAGAGTGGAGAGGAAATAGTAACCCCTACCTTTATACAGCCTGAGTTGGAAAATTACCCCAAAGCTCCTATTTCAATAACAATGCTGGACAGCAGTGGAATAAGTACCTCAGGGGTCCAAGACTGCACTACTAAAACTACATTTGTAAGTTGTGCCGTACTGGATACTCTCAGAAACAGTGCTGCTGTGTGGGTCCTCTAAGGCTAAGCCACCAGAAGAAATGCAGCAAATTGCATCATGGAGTCAATGCCCATACAACTGTTTCCTTGCTGAGTAAATATGTACTATTGTAACCTCCACAGATGATGTATTGGAGTGGGGTAAGGACTGTATTTACCATAGGCTGTTGTCTTAGCAAATAACTGAATGAATTTTGTTCAGTGTTTAACTGTTAATCTATATTAAACTTGACAGTGACCCCAGAAAGATGGAAACCTATGAAGCCCAGGTTTTAATCAGATTTGTTCTGCCATCATCTATCCATCCACCAGGAAAACATGCTCTGCCCCCTCCCCACCAAATAATTAAAATAAATGTAAAAGAAACAAATGAAAATCATGGAATGTGTGGTTTCCGACATTCATGACAAAAATCACAAGGATCTGGTAAAGATCAGATGAGAATTGGACAGTTAATTCCCCACACCTTCCACTAAATCTACCAAGGATGGAACTGTTATGCCTCTGTGTTTTATTACACTGCCATCATCATTATCTATGTATTATATTCACATTTTTCTCACCAGTGTGTCCACAGCAACTGTCACCTTTGAGGCTTATATTGCTGAACACATTGAGCAAAAAAGGTACTTAAAGCAACTGAAAGCGTACTTCTTATATACATGGTTTTGGTGTACACATTTTCACAATGAACCTTTAACTGTTTTACTCTTCTATAAAGTGGTGTTAGGCTAGGGTGTTCCATGCAGCACTAAAACTGCTGCACTGGGCATACTAATTCATTTAATAGTTTCATAATCCTTTCCTCTCACCAATGGGTAGAAATTAGAGGCTTTAATTAAGAGGTAATGTCAATGGAATAAGAGCAATTATTGCAGGACAATGGACTCCCACTGCTTCACAGTGAGGCTCTTACAGAGAAATAAATGTTGAAAATGAGGCACAACTGTCAGTGTGTTGTTTTGTGTTACTGTTTCACTGCATTGCACTGATGCCATTTCAAGGACAGCATCAGGTAAAACTACTAGTCTACAAATTATTATGGATCAGAGCTATGCAATTTCTGAGCGGCCAGGGGTCACAGGCCCCCGGGCACATGCTGTGTGGGCTGCATGTTACACCGTACCAGGCTGGTCCCCCGCACCACCACACTGCAGAGTGGGTACCCCTCCAACTGCACTGCAGCCAGTGGCATAACTGGAGGGCAGGGGGTTACAGCAGCCACTCCAGACACTGACTTGGGTGGTGGGCAGGGTGAAGAAAAGCAGGTGCTGCTAGCAGCCACACATTCACTTCCACAATCACAGGAGGAACCAGAAGTCACCATTTCCATTTTGCCCTGGGCACCCAGCTGCATCTTTACACTGACTATACCAGTGCCACCTCCCCCCCACCCCCCACACACACACACACCAGGCAGATGCTTCCACACCACACACGGTCACCAGGTCCTTTAACATCTGAACTGTGTTAAAATGTCAGGAGCTGCTGCAACTAAACACTAGTAAAATAAAATGATGGTGATAACAACAATCTTTTACAAAGGCAACGATGATACGAATAAGAACAACAACAGATTCAACATCTACCAAATCCAATGAAAGTTGGTGTCTGCCCATTCACTTCAAGGGGCAACGGGACAGTTCTGCATCATGTGTCTCACCTGAAGATCTCAAAACATGACATCACAATGAGATGTAAAATCTCTGTAAAAGGCACTGGGCATTTTCCTTTTTTCCCCCTTTACTTCTTCCTGTCTTCTTTCTTGGTGCTTATATTTCCCCTTGGTTTAGCTTGCTTTTTCTCAGGGCTGCATTAGGGCTTATGCAGACCAGGGAAATTCACGGTAGGGTCTTTGAAATGCTCCCTTCTCCCCAGGTAGCACACTGTACCGGTGAAACACAGACACACCTCCCTGATGGAGGCAAGCCAGCTGCAGCACTCCATTGCACACCTGACACAGGTGTTTTCCTTGTCAACTTCCCCCTCCCTCCCCCATCGCTTTTATTTTGAGTTTCTCAAGGTCCCACACTGTGTAAAGCAGAGGGAATCTGAGGATGTGTGGAAACCTGGACTGCATCCTCTACTCACCTTGCTCTTGGCTCCCTGCCTGTCTTTGGCAGTGATCAGACAGGGAAAGCCAGCAAATAGCAGGGCAGCTGTGATCTTTGGTGCACTGTTCTTTCCTTCTGAACACACAGAGGGGGAAAACCTGCCATTGAGCTGGTAAGAGGATTAACCTCAGCTTTGGTGTGTTAATGGACCCAGAGATAAAAAGATAAAAGGTGATTTTTTTATTTTTTTTTTGCAATTTCTTAGTTGGTCTAATAAAAGGTATCATCTCTGAACCAAGATTTCTAGAGTTCTGCATTTATTAATGGGCCCGGAGGAACAGACTTCCACCTTCAGCTTCCTCTGTGAAAAAATGAAGTTTATTTTCGAGCTATGGGGACTTTTTACCATCTTTCATTTTCCCTGAGGCTGAGGAAGGGTGTGTGCACCCAAAAGCTTGCAGAAAGAGAGAGGTTTTTTTTACAATTTCTCAGTTGGTCTCATAAAAGGCATCATCTCTGAACGAAGAGTTCTGGAGTTTTGCATTTCTTTGGTGTGTTAATGGTCCGGAATAGGACTCCCAGCAGCCTGCAATTGCTGCCTGCATAACAATGCCCGCAGGCTTCCCCACCTACCCAGTGCCTCACTCTGTATAGCCCCAGAGAAGGGAAAGGACTCTGGCATGTCATTGTCTGCACAGGGGGTCTCAAGCTGGGCTTGCTTTGTGAATGGGGCTTGGAGAAGCAACTGCACTGCAAACAGGCAGAAAATGGGCTTGCTTGTTTGCTTGTCAGCAGGGCAGAGGAGCTCCTTGTGCGGCAGGTCTCTCAGGTAACAGGTGGCTGGCTCCCTAAGCAGGCTCCTGGTGCACTACAGGATGACTTCATAGGGGTGGAGCCCTGGGAGGCTGTGGAGGTGGCAGGCTGAGCCAGGTAACAAGTGAACTTGTGGAGTCATTTCCCACACCCCCCTAAAAACAAGGCAGCTTTTACACTCACTTGAGCAAGAAGCACTGCACCCACCTCTTTCCTACCTCATTGCTGATTTCAAGCAAGTGAGGGGACTGCTTCTTGCTGAAAATGGAGAGCAAAGAAGCCCCTGGGAAAGAAAGCATGGGAGCCAAGAGGAAGAATTTGACCTTCTTGAAACACCGGCTGTACATGCTGGAGAGACGAAAGACAGACACTATTGTGGAGAGCAGCGTTCCTGTGGACCATAGTAGCTCTGGCACTTTGAGGAGGAGCCAATCCGACAGGACAGAATACAGCCAGAAATTACAAGGTATCTGGGGGTGGGGAACAACTTACTATTTATTATTTGCAGTGAAGTAGTACCTAGAATCCCCTATCAATGATCAGGACCCCACTGTGCCAGGCAGCTTATAAACTAAAAAAAAACAAACCCCAAGAAGACATTCCCTGCCCCAACGTGCTTACAGTTTAAGCCTGCCATTATGATGACTGTTCCCAACTTGCTTAATATTTATAAATAATGGCACTTGCACAGGATACTAAAATGGGATTCAAGAGACAGTCAAGCTTTTGAAACCCAATTGAAAATGTGGGTTCACAACATATACATGAACTATATAATGTATACTCTATAACACAATGTCTCCCCCATGGCTTATTCTTTTTTTATTGGGAAATGGAGTATATGCATTAAGTCAGGTTAATGCGAGTGTCAAGGCAGATTTTTGCTTTCAGTTAAAATTGCACAGCATTTTAAATGGCTTTGTTTGGCCTGTTTATTTGGTTTCCAGATTGTACATGCCTGAATTTCAGATATATTTAACTGCATGCCTTGAATGGATATGCTGATTCAAATTATATGGCTACAGTGGCATTCTTTTTTCAAATTCTTAACTATTCTCAGAATCCAAAACTGCCAAGTTTTGTCTGCATCTGAATTGGATATCAGAAATTCAACCTGAAGCCACAAATTAAAAAGAAACCTCACAGATAGAAATTGTCACACTTCTGTCCAGTGTCCAGAATAAGGACGTTAGGAGCACTGCAGTAAGATAAACACTTATCACTAATAATTACAGAAATGATGCAATTCCTATGGTAATAATTTTGTGTCAGGGAAATAATTAATACATTTTAGGTTTCCCACAATGTATGTACAGTTGTGTGGTGTTTAATAAGGGATTTTTCAAATATGAAATAATATATGGTATTCTATATAGTTGAGACACAGTTTGTAATAGGGTTAATGGTGATGACACAGTTGCCTTGTAGAGACTGAAATGCTATATAGCAAAGTGTTGTAAGAAGTGTGACACGGTTCCTTGGGTGAACCTGATATCTTTTATTAGACCAACCCAAATAGTTGGAAAATAATTATTAAGCAAGCTTTTGGGTTCAAAAACCCTTCGTCAGGCTAAGGAAGTTACAGCAGTTGGTATGTGCTCTTCCTGCCCAGCCCAGGGCCAGATGCTATCCAGTCTAGCTTCCTTATTAGCACAGTATTGCCCAGCCCATCTGGCTCCATGGACCAACCCTGTACCCCAGCCCAATCCAACATATGGGGCCACATCATTTGGACCATGGGGCTTCCCATAGCCCCGAGACCCACAGCAAGTAATGCTACCACCACTCCCCCACTGCCAAATTTCTGGACCTATGAGGAGTCCCACAGACTGAATGACTTGGCTTCGCCAGTTGGATCTGGCCTGCCAGCTGTAGACTGAGCACCAGTGGTCTAGCATACCAGTTGAGGTTAGGTCCCAAGGTGTAGCCCCTTGGACTATGTAAGGGTGGAAACAGACATCACCTTTGTGATGCCATAAAAGTTCTTATGATGACACAAAGGCCATGCAGACCTATGTCCATGCCCCTAGGCATGCCACAAATGCCCAAAATTTCTGCCTATAATATAGGTGGTATCAGTTTGTGCCACTTTATTGTGGTAGATGTCTGTTAGGTTTATAGAAGGAGAGCATGGTCAGTCTGGAGCTGCCCGTGCTTTCCAGTCATCCTAGGCAGGCACTCCTGGGGCTTCAGAGGCCTAATTCTATACGCTCTGGAAATTTCCATTCCTGCAGTATGCAGGATCAGGCCCCTGAAGCCCTAGGAGCACCTGTGTGGGTTCCCTTGTTGGGATCCTGGGGATTAGCTGATTGGTGGTTTCAGCTTTGGGACCTCACTGGAGCTGGCTTTCCCCCAAATTCCCCAGGGTGCATCTCTGTAAGAGGGGAAAGCTGGGCAGGCACTCTTGGGCCTGAGGGGCCTAATCCTGGATAGGAATTCCCAAGCATCACAAAACCAGGACTCTGAAACCCTGGGGGAACACATTGCCCATTGTCCTGCAAGATGAATGGGTGGGACAATTGGTGATATCCGTTTTGCTGAATGAAATGGATTAGCTGTGCTAGGATATGTCTCAGCAAACTGATCCTCTTAATTTTGCAAAGGCTATTTCTAACCTAAGTGAGTAAGTCTCCAGAGCTGACTGCCAAAGCACCGCTTAGCAGTGGTAGGCCTTTTGAGCTGTCCCTGTACACTCCCCCTTAAGTTTATGCCAGTGTAAACCAGGAGTCTATTTCCTTTGCTTTTCCAAGTGCCCCAAGCCTCCCAAAATTGTTTAAGGTTGAATTAAATGTTTTGTTTGGCACTAAACGCAGATTTTCTGTTTTCCATTTTGGTGAGGAATATGTGTGCATGTGCATAGATAGGATCTTTAGAATATATATGCATACGTATATATGTACACATACATATATTTGTTTCCACTGCTGAACCACAGAGTCACACAACCCCAGTCCAAAGGTCCCAGCTAGACTGGGGTCCAGCATGTGGGCACCTGGCAAAGATACACACAGTACGAATGTTGGCCTACTCCTAGTTTGAATCAGATACACACCACTGGCAAGCTCTATACTGATTAACCATATCTCTATCTAGTTCCTTGTTTTTGAACACTCTCCAGAGTAGTATAGGCAAGATGGTATAAGACTGGGAAGCACAGTGGTAAGTATGTTCTGCAATAGATTCCATTCCTTTAGGGTCAGGATTCTACAAAGAATCCCAGAACAACAGACTGCAGGACCTAACTCATATATTTTTGATAGTTGAAGTACAAAGCTTTGATACACATGTATAGCGATGTATCTTTTCATCCCTAGGTCTAGGTCAGAGTAGAGAAGAGTTCTGCTGAAGCCACAACTGGTATCCCAGCCCTTTTCAGAAGTGCTCGAATAAAATTGACTTTAAAAATGGAATTACACGCATGGAAAAAACAGGCACTATTTGATGCTTACAAGTAGTAAAATATAAGTAAAATTGGCAGGCCTGGAAAATTCTGAATTTCTGAGGATTTGGTTTCTTCCCATGGATTTCCCTTACATCTTTTATAGATAAGTTAAAGTTTAACTGAACAAAAAAGGTGTTAGCTCTGTGATTGCAAAGATAACCAGGAGCATTCACTTAGCTTTGTCAATCTGCACTAGAACAATAGGATTGCCAAAGGTTCAAAACTTCCCACACTATTGGATAGTTTTCACTCCAAAAATAATCACTTAATTAGCAACATAATCAACCTTTTCTTAGCTAATTATTATACATGAAGCATCCATTTAACTCACTTATCTAGTATGAATAGCTGTTTAACACTTTGATTGTTTCATTTATTTAAAAATGATACTCCATTGGGAAAAGGCTACACTTTAGTAACAGTTTTCCATTAGATCTTGAAAAGCTTTACAAATACTAATAAAGCATTGCAACTCCTTCTGTAAAGTAGCTAGGTGTAATTAGCCCCATTTTACTGCGGAAAAAGGGGCACAAAGTCATAGAGCAAGTTAGAGATGTAAGAAATCAGTGAGCTGAAACTGGAGAGAGCTGGGTTTGCTACAAACTCCATGGTCTAGTCATTTACTTCCTTATACCAGGGCCTCTTGTCAGCAAAATGGAAATTATATATCACTATCTCATGAAGATCATAGAAAATTAGGGTTGGAAGGGACCACAGGAGGTCACCTAGTCAAGCCACTAGCTCAAAATAGGATCATCCCCAACAAGATAAATTCACTAATGCTTGATTCAGGAGCCTAGATATGAATTGTTATATTTGCTGAAATGCATCTTAGGAAGTAATAATATGAGTTCTAACTCCCAGTTCACTCCTGTACAAAAATACTAAAAATCCTGAATGATGCATGCCCCTGGAGGCTGGGCTGGCACAGCAAGCTCCTGCAGATGGCAGTGGCGCTGTCCACAGTGGGAACATGGCAGAGGCAAGTGGGGAACTGCTGCAGGCAGCCACAGCGCTGTCAGTGGCAAGGAGGGGAGGGGGTGGAGAGCACCGACCAGTGATTAGCGACCACCTGCAGACACTGCCGGCAGCATCAGCAGCAGCCAGCAGCAATTGCTCCTAGCCCCAGCTAGATTCCTATCCCTCCAGGGACCAACAGTGAACTTCTGTTTGGTCCGAGGTAACGTAACTCAGAGCGCTTTGCAGAAATCATTCTGAGCTATAGCTAGAACCTGTACTTATGTCTGCACTTTATGTTGTTATTTCTCAAATTGCTGGCTACTGGCTAGTCAGATTAGATATTTTTGTTTGTTTGTTTTTCAACAAGATCTACAGGGAAAAATTCTTCAGGAGGGAAAAGTTGCTATGACCTAGCTCAGGGATCTCAAACTCACTTGGGAGCCTGGGCTGGATCCAGACTTCAGGGCAGCTCATGTGTCAGATTCAGCAAGGGGTATGAGAGCTACCACAGTGGCCACTGCAGCAACAGTGACAGCAAGGGATCTAGTGGTGACCATGAAGGGGCCACCAGTAGCAGCAGATCTGGGGTGGCAACTCCAGGTGCAGGAATGGAGAGCCAAGTTTACTGCTGATGGCTGTGCCCAGCAGAGCTAAAGGGCCCCAGATTATGCAGCAAGCCTTGTCCCCCAACTTCCAACGCTCACTGGCTCCCTAGTGGGCCAGATGCAGCCCAAAGGCTGTATGTATGGTACCCTTAATTTAGGTAAAGGTTTACATGTTGCACTGTTGTTACATAGTTGCATATCATGCTTGGATTAAGTTAGATGAAGCAGTGCTATAGTTGGAGCAGTTTTGCTACACTTACATCATTTCCAGCTTGTCCACATATAACAATTAGAATGTAACCGCTGCTAGCCTTTTGAAACATTTCCCTTCTGTAATGGCCTGAAAAGTGTGTGTCCATAACCTCTATTGAAGTCCACAGTGTCACATTAGTTTACTCCTAAACAAAGATCTTTGGAGCAGAGCCACCTTTCTCAAGTGAAGTGGGGTCCTCCATCTTG